TTATCTATTCACTATACTTGCGCCACTTCTTTTTAAAATCGCCCAAGCGGTCTTCTTTCCAGAGGGTAGCACGTGCTAGTGTGAAATAATTGTTTCGTTCAGTTTACGGGGTTTCTTTTTTTGCATTTTGAGTTTTTTCAACCAATACTAAATTTAAGACCAGTACCAAGTTGACGTTTGTTTCATCATCGCCTTTCTTCCGGCCACTGATGCAGTTGGCTGTTTCGCCATTCTTCTATTTTGAGCCTCTCTCATCCACATAATTCCATATAGCCATTCAAATTGATTCTTTTGCTTTAACTGATAAATTCCACTTCAATTACAGGGTGTTTTACTGTAAACTTGAGAATTTTGCCGTTAAAAATAAAAGAATAAGAATAAGCACTGGTCTGTGTTAAGGACATATTTGCACTTAGCTGGACATGGAGTTTTTACAGGTACGGGTATATTGGTACATTTCTTCTCTACATCTTACGCCTTGCATCGTTACTAGTGCTACCTCAGTGCATATTCAACACGCTTGGTTTGATGCTTTTCAATGGCTTTCGAGAGAAAGTGAATCTGAAGGCGGCACCATTGCTGGCTCCGCTCGTCTGCTTCCGAGTTGTCACACGTGGCGACTATCCCGAACTCGTAAAGGTTGCTTTTTTTTGCAGCAAACTAAAGACCTTGGCAAGGAAGTAGAAGGAATCGAAACGGAGGAGGAGATCGTCAACGTTAAGAATTCCAAATCTTGCATAGAGACAGGAGCACTCCCTCTCCGTTTATGCAAATTTTGTTTATGTACTACAAGACGAATTATTTTTCCTGACTTTTTTTTGCATGCCCTTTTCTTGTCAAAATCAAAGTTTTCCTAAGCTTTACTCTCAGTAAAGGGCTGAGACGCTCATAAGTAACCAGATAGCAAATGCCAGCAGCAACCACTCATTTTCAAGATTTCTCATTTTTTCATCCCAGTTTATTTGATTTTTTTCATTTTTTTTTTTTTTTGATAAATTTTTGCGGTTCTTTTTTTTGCAGCAAAATGTCAATTACAACATGGCGAAGTGTCGTGAAGCTGGAATGGAGAATTTTTTCTTTGAAGTGGTCACCGATAAAGCGATTAACTTGCCCAGTTTACCGCGTTTACGTGAAGTTGTCGTGCCAAATTCTTACAAGTATATTTCTCAATTTTTACTTTCCTTTAAAAAAAACTTGCGAAATTTTTTGTATTGTTTCCTCTAAATTTTTTAGTAAAGAGAGCCGAGCCTGTCCAAGTGAGAGTTGAAATCGGTTCTTTCTATGCTAACCTATCCACCTGCCGACTACATTTTTCTTCTTATTGTCCCATTATTTAAATGTATAATAATAATAATCTACGTCACAACTGTTTCATTAATGAGGTCCAGTTATGGTGTTCAGTTAAATCGTATACAACTTTATGGACCGAAATGTCTTAATCTCAGCTAAATTACTACTTCTTCGTAGATATTATAGGCTTCAATCTTTAATATTTGCAATATACCTCATTAAAAGCTAATCTCTGCTCTTGGCGTAGTGTCTCTAACTTTGCATAAATCTGAAAGTTTAATACTGCATGGGGTAACTGGGCTAAAATGCATTTTTGCAAAACTGTCCATTGTCTGAGCTAATCGTTTTGCAGTATCATACTTTGCTCGCGGAAATCGCTAACTTGGGAACCAGGAAAACTGGGGGGTTGGAAGTTTCAGGGGATGTTCCTAGCTAATGTGCGACTTAAAATTATCATATTCAGCCCCTAGGTATGCGCGTTCTTGCATACGGCCCCGCTGTATGAGCACGTTTCTTAAATTGGATTATTTGGATTAGCTATAATTTATAGTCTGTTTCTCCAGTTATGCAACTTTTTCAGCTGCTTTGACCAGTGCTACATCGTATAATAGTCAGCCTGTTGTTGCTGGCGCCCTGACGTTCATTTCGTTTCTTGAAGTGATTATAATGGTTTAGCGGTTGTCCCGATAGAAAGGCAATTACTAAGCTCGGCTCGGCTGAACCGCTATTGTGAAATGTTCTAGCTTCTGTGCCTGTGCTGCTTCACGGCGTCGCTTTCCGGCACCTCTTGACACTTTGAAAACGAGTGCTGGATAGTGCTATCTAAACTCTGTGGCTATGGGATTGGTGGATGGTGGGTGCCCAGATGCCGCTGTTGAGGGTAAGAATTAGGGACAGGAAAGAGGAGGGGGACAATGACAGTGAATTGGGGTTCGAGGCGAGAACTGGCGACAGCAGTAAAGAGAAAGAGGCAACACACCAACAAAAACTAAAGTAAATTAAAGCAAACCTGAGCTTATGAATAAAAGCAAAAAAAAAAAAAGCGAGATCAGTGAATCGAAACCTATGAATAAAAGCAAAAACATGTAAAAGCTGAGCTTATCCAAATGGAAATTGTCTTAAAAAAGTCCGTCCTCAGCAGAAGGCTTCCCTGTTTCTGAAGCTGACACTTAGATGCAACTGAGAACTCTCAACTTTACCTATGCAGCTTTATGGTGTGTGTTGAGCTTATCAGACTGAAGTAGCAAAGTATATGAGTATGGGTTATGGAGCAGTCTTGCCTTTATTCGTAATAAAGAGTGATTTTTGGAATAACATTAGAAGAATGAATAACAAATAGACAAGTTTTAAAAAGGGAAGAGAAAATTATACCGGAAATTCGTAAAAATATTATGTAGCACAGCAATTTATAGAAACATATAGTGCAGTGGAAGATATAGTTATACATGGTATTTTTATAGTTGCATAAAATATTACGCAAAAGTTTGTAAAAATATGTATAGTTTTTATTTATGAATTATTACACTGCATAACATTTTTATCATGCACAATATAATAAATATATTGTGTAGCATAATAATTTACAGATAAGTCGTATACATTCCTATTCAACTGAATCTGAAGCTCGTCAGTACGACAATTAAGTTGTTGTTATAAAGTATTCTCTAGCTTCGGAATTCCTCAAATAATCTTTGTTTTGACATAGTAAATTTAATGTGTAATATAATAGTTTACAAATAATTGATGAGGGACGTTTTGGTCCATTAAATTGTATACATTCCTATTCAGCACCACAACTGAAGCTCATCAGTCCGACTGTTGTATTGCTGTTACAAATTATTTTTCAACTTCCAAATTCCTCAGTTAAATCCTGTTCCGATAATGACATATGCTGTTATGAATTTTTTCGACTTTCTGTTTTGAATCTCATCAGTAGAATAATGGTTTTTTTTGTTTCAGAATTTTTGTTTTTGTTTTTTAAGATTTTTTCATGATTTCTTTTCAGATTATTTCGTGATTTTGTTTTTTTTTTTTGTTCCAGAACGAAAAGTGGAGCTCAGTTTAAATCGCGTGCATTGCAGTATTGTTTAGAAGATGATGTGAATATCCTTCAGCATGATGATTGGATTGTA